CTTTCAAAACTTCCCAGGATTTTGACGGATTCTGCCATGTGCGCGCCATGGCGCAAGCGCGCGTATGGATTTCGTCTTGTTTTTGCAAGGGATTCTTGCGATAACACTCGCGCAACGGCGTTCTTGTGATTTCGACATGCGCGCGCGAGAGGCCTGTTTGGGAACATGGTATGGGACTGTTGAACATCTACGGTTACTTGAGAACCCGCAAGAACCCGAACGCAATTTTTGTTTGAACATCTTTGTTGGGAAGCCATGTGTGTTTTGTTCATAGGTTGCCGAAACACTCGATTTTGAAATCCTTACGGATTCTACGGTTTTTGAAGGATTTCGGCATGCGCGCGCAACGACGCGCGCGTGTTCACTTCGTCCCGTTTTTGCAAGGGATTCTCGAACAGTGTTGTTGTTTGATAAACGAGTGTGCGCGCATGGTATTATTGGCGGAGGATGAGAAGGGGGTGGGCGATGCCGGCCTGTCTGGGATGGTACTGATTTACATTTCGGGCAGAGTCGCATGCAAATTTCAATACGAACGGGGGGCCCGTTAAGTCCAGGGGGGGAGGGGGGGGATATCTTATTTTGAGAAAGAACTTACGCGGCGACGGCGACCACGGAACCGCCAGACCGACACCCAGGCCCAGATTACGGGCGGCGACGAGGCGGCGAGGGGCGGAGACGGCGAGCACGGATCCGCCAGACCGACGCCCAGGCCCAGTTCCTCAGAGCAGAAGTGCGGACCCTAAGTGCAAGCATGTGTCTGGGGAATAAGCACCTTGGGGTTCGCCTGGGAGCCCTCCTGGAGCGCCTTGAGCAATCTTGGCGGCAGCCTGGGGCCTACATAGGCCCCCTAGGGTTCTCTCGAAGCCATTTTGGAGCCGTCTTGGGCTGTCATCGGGCCGACCTGCGCCGTCTCGGGATCACCCTTGGCGGCCCCGGGGATTCCGCGAGAGGTCGGTGCAGGGTGTCGCTGGGCTGTCGGCACACGGAGCGCGGGCCGCCAGGAGGTGAGCCACGGGGGACATCGACACTACGTGTGCGACTGGGCAAGTCTTGTAGGGGATGGCATACGCATTGTTCATTTCTAATTCTTCGGAAATTCCTTGATATTTTGGAGGCCAAGATCCTTTCATTTCTGATTGTTGTATCCTGGGCCTCTTCCTGGCCACTGGGGGGCCAGGAACAATTAGAAACGAGCACAATCAGGAATTATCCCAGTGCGACCCTACCTAGGAGTTGGAGCCTCTAGGAAAGCAACATTAGTAGGAGCGGTAAACGCCGTCCTCCTCCTTCTCCTCATCGTCGTAGTTGTAGCGGTAGCGTAGTAGTAGTAGTAGTAGTAGTAGTAGTAGTAGTAGTAGTAGTAGTAGTAGTAGTAGTAGTAGTAGTAGTAGTAGTAGTAGTAGTAGTAGTAGTAGTAGTAGTAGTAGTAGTAGTAGTAGTAGTAGTAGTAGTAGTAGTAGTAGTAGTAGTAGTAGTAGTAGTAGTAGTAGTAGTAGTAGTAGTAGTAGTAGTAGTAGTAGTAGTAGTAGTAGTAGTAGTAGTAGTAGTAGTAGTAGTAGTAGTAGTAGTAGTAGTAGTAGTAGTAGTAGTAGTAGTAGTAGTAGTAGTAGTAGTAGTAGTAGTAGTAGTAGTAGTAGTAGTAGTAGTAGTAGCGCCAGAACCGCCGACGCCACGCCGTAAGTGAAGCAGCAGCAGAAGCAGGCAGCAAGTCGCCGAGACAGCAGCAAAAGCAAGCAGGCACGGAGATGAGGGCGGGGCATTGGGGAGTTCTTTACATCTACATCTATATCTACACCTACATCTACATCGACACCTACATCTACATTTAGACGTACATCTACATCTACACCTACAGCTACATCTACATCTACACCTGCATCTACATGTACATCTACATGTACATCAACAGCCAGACTCACATCTACATCGACATCTACATCTACACCTACATCTACACCTACATCTACATCTACATCTACATCTACACCTACATCCACATCTACACCTACACCTACATCTACATCTACATCTACACTTTCGCATTGGTTTTGCTTTTGCTTTGCATTGCCTTTGCTTTTGCTCTTGCCTTTGCTTTTGCCTTTGCCTTTGCTTTTGCCTTTGCTTTTGCTTTTGCTTTTGCTGTTGCTTTTGCTTTGCTTTGGTTTTTGCTTTTGCTTGGTTTTGCTTTTGCTTTGCCTGCGCACAGACACACACACGCATGTTTTTGCATTCGCTCACCGGGTGTGCTTGAGAATGCTCCGGATCCGGCCTACACCGCACGACTTGGCATTGAGCAAGGTTGTGCAACACTTGCTACACCGAACGTTCTTACGGAACTGTTCAGCAGCAGCAGCTCCCAGATCGGTGCAACAAGCTGTTCAGCATTGTTTCGGCGGGCATCATCGGCGCTGGAATATGCGGTTTTACCAGAGTGGTGTGACCACAACCTCCCCGCTGTCGTGGAGTCGCCCGAGCCACTCTTCGCGCGCAGGGACTGTGTCGAATAATCAGTAGCACACATATCGCCGTTACTGGTTCCCCTTCCGCAGCTCGCAGATCTTGTAGCAGAAACGCTGCAAGTTAACATTCGGCCGTTGCAATTCAGCAGGGATGTGCTCGCAGCCGATTTGCATGGAGCATACGTGCGCGCATATATATATATATAGATATATATATATAGCAGCAACAATCGTGGTTGCTGTGCTGCGCTATGCTATGCTATGCTATGCTGTGCTATGCCATGCTTTGCTTTACTATGCTATGCTGCACAATGCTATGCTGGGCTAGGCTAGGCTAGGCTATGCTATGCTATGCTGCGCTGCGCTATGCTAGGCTGCGCTATGCTCTGCTATGCTATGCTATGCTAGGCTATGCTATGCTATGCTATGCTATGCTTTTGCTTTGCCTTCGCTTTTGCCTTCGCTTTTGCCTTTGCCTCCGCTTTTGTTTGGCACCCAGGGAGCGCAACTGGGGGAACCGCGCGTTTGCTTTTACCTTTGCTGTTGGTTTTGCTTGGCTCCCAGGGGACTGGGGGAACCGCCCGGGGCGGTTTGCACTGCCCGGCCCCTTTAAGCCAAGCGAGTAATAACCCTTCTAGACAGAGCCTCGGTAGGGAATGAGCACGATTAGAAACGAACGACGTGTGTGCGTGTTGCAGATGTGATTCGGGAGGCCGCGCCGCAAAAAGGGCCCCCCCTGGGTCTGCCCCCCTGGGTCGCACCTGGGTTTCCTGGCTTGCGCTGCCCCTGCCGACCCCCCTTGGGGGCCCTCGATCCCTCTCTCGAGGGACTTGTCGCGCGCCTTCTGGACGCGTGCGGTGTGCTACGAGCTTCTTGGTGCTTCGTGGCGAGGCCAAGGCCGTGCCCAAACTGGGTCCAGTTGGGTTTTCTTGAGGCTCTCTTACGGGCTTGTTGGGCTCTCTTGGGTCGTCCTCTTTGGGGGGGGCCTCTTTGGCAGTCTCGGCTCCCTCTTGAGCAGTCTTTCTTGGGCTGCCTTGAGCCCCTCCCAGGGTAACTTTTGGGGCTTTCTTAGTCCGTCCTGGGGCCGTTTTTTGGCGTTCTTGGGCCGTCACGGGGCACCCTGAGCGCCCCCGAAACAATCTTCTATAGCAGAGCAGAAGAATTTCGAACGCATGGGAACACCGAAGGTATTGGAACACTCTGGGGGAGCTTTCTGGCCACCTCGAGCTGTCTCGGGGCTGTACTTGGGCCACTTGGACGCATGCTGGAGGCCACGTGTAATCGATGTTGACCATCCTGTGCGACAGTAGAAGCCATCTGGAACCACTAGGGGCAACCTGCTCGCCATTTGGACGAGTTAGAACGCCCGGGCCTTTCAAGGAGCAAGGTGCACCCCCGATGCTTCCTGCTCAACCAGTACACATGGCCGTCCAGTGGAGGCTGGTTGTGCGGTTTGAGAAAAACAGTTGGCCTCCCGGGGAAGGGATTTGGGCAGGAGCAAGAGTCCCACACCCCGATTATCAGGGGGCGGCATCATATCTTGCGAATTCGCAGTGGTATCGCAATGATTTGTGACAGCATCGGAGACGGGTGCGCTCGGCAGGGCTAGAAACACGGCTTGGAGCCAGTGGTTGCCACACTCGTTGCTGTAACTTCTCTTTCTCTTCGCCCTTCTCCTCTTCCTCGCCTTCTCTCTCTGAAATGGCCTCCTTGTGCCTAGCCTGTGCTTGCTGTGCAGTCGATCGCCCATCCTCATTCTCATGCTCGTCTTTATAGCCCTAGCCTTCATCCAAAATCTTCATCCTCATCTTCATCCTCATCCTCGTCCTTCTCCCCTTCATCATCCTCATCCTCATCCACATCCTCGTTCGCCTCATCCGTCTCGTTCTCCCAATGATCCTCATCCTGATCCAGATACTCATCCTCATCCTCATTCATCCTCGTCCTGTTCCTCCACCTCCTCCTCGTCCTCGTCATCATCGTCATCTCATCCTCCTCTCCATGTTCTTCTCCGTGTGCCCTCATTCTCACTCCCATTCTCATCCGCATCTACACATCCTCATCCGGCATCCTCATCCTGCGCTAGCATCCTCACCCTCGTCCTCATTTATCCTCCTCCTACCGCCTCTGACTTGTGCAGGAGGCGGCCGCGGACGACCCGGCCCCGATCGCGTGCCAGGCCCCGGAGCCAGATGATTCCGCTCCATCGGTCAGGGCGCGATCGTGGGTCGGTGTGTCGCCGGACCATTGACTCAGTTTGATGATGACGACGACGGTGATGACGTCGACGACGACGACGGCGACGACGATGATGACGACGACGACGACGACGGCAACGACGACGACGATGACGACGATGACGACGGCGACGACGACGTCGACGTCGACGACGACGACGACCACGACGACCACGACGACCACGACGACGACGACGACGACGTGGAGGAGGAGGAGGAGAAGGAGGAGGAGGAGGAGGAGAGGAAATGGAGGAGGAGGAGGAGGAGGAGGAGGAGGAGGAGGAGGAGGAGGAGGAGGGGGGAGGGGCGCATCCGAGGCCCTGAAGCTGGGCGAGGACGGGACTGGCCGCTGGCAGGGCGCCACGGTGCGCAGCTGGAACCCTGAGAGCAGGCGCTGGCTCCTGCGCTGGACGACGGGGACCGAAGACCAGGCGAGCCCTCGTTGCCAGGGGACGGGGGCCCCCGATCGAATCGAGGGGAGACTGCCCAGCTTTGGTCTGGGCTTTCCCTTTCCAGGGGGCCCACACACTTCACACACATACACCCTTCTCCTCTCAATGGCTTCCTTTGTTCTCACCCTCCTCGCCGCCTCGCCTTGCCCTCTGCTGCTGCTCGCCTTGCCTCTTCCTCCACCTCCTCCACCTCCTCATCCTCCTCCTCCTCCTCCTCCTCCTCCTCCTCCTCCCCCTCCTCCTCCTCCTCCTGCTCTCTCTCTCTCCCTCCTCCTCCTCCTCCGCCCTCTGCTGCTGCTGCTCGCCCTCCTCGTTGCTTCGCCGCCTCCTCCTCGAGCTTCTGCCCTCCCCCCTCGCCGCCTCGCCGCCCCGCCGCCTCGCCCTGCCCGCTCCTGCGGCCCGCCCTGCCTCTTCCTCCACCTCCTCCTCCTCCTCCTCCCCTCCTCCTCCTCCCCCTCCTCCTCCTCCACCTCCTCCACCTCCCCCCCTCCTCCTCCTCCTCCTCCTCCTGCTCTCTCTCTCTCCCTCCTCCTCCTCCTCCTCCTCCTCCTCCTCCTCCTCCTCCTCCTCCTCCTCCCCTCTCGCTCTCTCCCCTCGTGATCCGCGGATCGCGGCCAGTGATCGGCGGGGTGCTCCGCGCTGGCACGCGGGCCCGCGGCGCGCGCAGATCGGGCCCTGGCGGGCCGATCCCCCAGATATCGGCCCGCCAGCCCGCAGCGTCCGGCCGGGGCCAGGGCCGCGGCTGTGCCGGGATGCCTGTCCGCCGCGCCACGGGTTCCCCCCCCCCCCACGGTAGGTTTGCGTCGTGTCGACCAGCGGCGACCCAGAATCGATCGATGTTGAACGATCGGACGTTGCGGCAGCGGCCGATCGTTCAAGGTTGAAAGATCCCTGCGGTGTCAAAAACCAACGCTGGGGTCGGCACGACACGAACCTGCCGTACCCTCCTCAGTTCCTTCCCGCCACCCTCTCTTCCCCTCCCCCCCCCCTACCCCCTCTTTCCCCGCCCCGCCCTCTTTATTTCTCTCCAGGCACCCCTCGTTTGTCCCCCCCCCCCGCCACTCCGGAATCTCCTCGCCCGCGCCCGCCGCGACACCAAGCAGGAATTCGAGACCATCCGCTCCGACTCCAGCTCTGACTCCCCTTCCGACGCCAGCTCTGGCTTCGACCCCAACCCCGATCCCAGCGCAAACTCGGACGCACTGCTCCGGCTTCCATGCTGACTCCGACTCCAGCTGCGACCCCCTTCTGGCGCCAGCTCGGGCTCCGACCCCAACCCTGGCTTCAGCGCCAGCTCTGACACCAGCTCCGACTTCTTATCTAACACTTGCTCCGTCTGCGTCTCCATCTCCGACTTCTGACTCCCCAACGGCTGAATTCAATGCACGACCCTGACCCAGGGCATTGCGCTGCTGGGTCCATGGACGCACCAGAACCCTACTGCCTACCCGTGCCCATCACCTCGCACTCTCCACATTACATGGGGACATCTACCATACAAACGTAACGTAGCTCAGCGCGGTCCTCATTAGTCGTAGCACCGTCAAGACGAGCGGGGAGATCTTGAAGCCAGTGCCAGGGTCTGGCGATATAGTGGCGACGGCGTCAGCCGCTCTCCAATGCATCGCTTCCTTTACTGTTTTATCATACCTATACGACCATCCTTCGGGTGACAAGGAGGTTCCGGGGGGGAAGGAACCAACGTCTCACTCGATCGGTCTCACTATCGATCTCGATCGATCTCACTCGATCGATCTCACAATCGATCTCACTCGATCTATTTCATTCGGTCGATCTCGCAATCGATCTGACTATCGATCTCACAATCGATCTCACTATCGATCTCACAATCGATCTCACAATCGATCTCACATTCGGTCTCACTATCGATCTCATTATCGATATCACAATCGACCTCACAATCAATGTCATCATCATCATCATCAACATCATCGTCATCAACGTCATCAACATCATCATCATCATCATCAGCGGGACATCATCATCATCACCTCATCACCATCATCAACATAATCATCATCACCGTCATCATCATCGTGACACCATCATCGTCACCATCATCATCAACATAATCATCATCATCGGGATTCCGTCATCATCATCATCATCATCATCATCATCATCGGAACACCACCATCATCACCATCATCTCATCATCAGCATCAGGAACAACATCATCACCATCATCATCATCATCATCACCGGAACACTATCATCACCAGCATCATCATCACCAACATCATCATCATCATCATCATCATCATCATCATCATCGGGGAACCATCATCATCAGCAACATCATCATCATCACCATCACCATCATCCCCGGGACACCATCATCATCATCATCACCAACATCATCATCATCGGGCCACCATCATCAAAATCAGCATCATCACCTCATCCTCATCCTCATCATCAGCATCATCATCATCATCATCATCATCATCATCATCGGGACACCATCATCTTCATCATCAGCATCATCATCATTATCGAGACGCCATCATCATCACCATCATCATCAACAGCATCATCATCATCAACCTCATCACCATCATCGGGGCACCATCATCATCATCATCATCTTCATCATCATCATCGTCTCATCATCTCATCATCATCAACATCATAATGATCATCAACATCATCATCGTCATCGTCATCATCATCGGGGAACCATCGTCATCAGCAACATCATCATCATCATCAACATCTTCATCATCGGGACACCATCATCATCACCATCACCATCATCATCAACATCGTCAACATCATCATCATCATCATCATCATCATCATCATCATCATCATCATGATCGGGACACCATCATCATCAACACCATCACCATCACCATCATCAGCATCATCACCATCATCATCGTCACCATCATCAACATCATCATCATCATCACCATCATCGGGACACCGACGGGACACCGGCGGGACACCGGCGGGACACCGCGCGGCACCGGCCCCCGGAAAGGAAACATTTGGTCCGGCCGCGCCTCAGCCGGAGGCGGGACACCGGCGGGACACCGCGCGGCACCGGCCCCCAGAGAGGAATCATTTGGTCCGGCCGCGCCTCAGCCGGAGGAGACTTTCTTCTCGCCCGCCCACGCAGCTTCGCCTCCCCCGCACGCACGGCACGCACGAAGACGAACACGAAACCGAAACCGATTTCCCGGTAGGGGGGCTCTCCGTTCCACTTCGATCTCACCCCCTCACCTCCGATTCCTTCTCCTCCTCCTCCTCCTTCTCCTCCCCTTCCTTCTCTTGTTGCCTGTGCGTTTTACCTCTGGCTGGCCAGGGTTTTAAGCAGCCGTTGCGCTCGACAGCCGTGGATGTCGACCATGCTGCCCACTCCTGTTCGCCTCTCGCCTCTGGCGTGCTGGCTAGATTTCTGGAACTGTTCTTCTGTAGTCCCACACGTTTTGGTGTGATCCAGGGGATGCCAGCACATCCTCGGGGAGTCGCCCGCTTCTGTGTTACTTCTCCTCCCGTCCTTGTCGTCGTCGTCCTCCTTCCCCATCTCTTAATGCCGTCACGTTTTCGGCCGTGCCGCGTTCATAGTGTTTCCTTGTCTCATGGCTGGTGTATTCGTGGGGGCTTTCCTGTCGCAGGTTGATATTCCCCGAACCATCCACTGCTGTTGCGTCTTCGTTTTGAAGAGACAGTCTCCGCATCTCCTCCTTCTCCTCTCTTCCTCCTCCTTCTCCCCCTCCTCCCTCCTCCCGTCACCCCCTTCACTCTGCACACCCCTCACACGTTTCGTGGCCCCATAGGGAGCTCCACCGAAGTCGTGGCATGGTTTACATGCCGAACCCCCTCCACTTTGGCACACCCCTCGCACGTTTCGTGGCCCCATAGGTAGCTCCACCGAAGGCCCCAATGGCATAGTTCGCATGCCGCCCCCCCTCTACTTTGGCACACCCCTCGCACGCATCCTGGCCCCATAGGGAGCCCCACCGAAGGCCGCAGTGGCATGATTCGCATGCCGCCCCCCCTCTATTTTAGCACACCCCTCATACGTTTCGTGTCCTCATGGGGAGCTCCACAATATGGCCCCGCGCATGCGTTTCCCACACCCAGTACAACGTTTCGGAGTCCCATAGGGAGCTCCACTACTGGAGGCCCCAGTGGCGGTGTTTCCCCCACCAAGCATATGTTTCGTGTCATCATAGAGAGCTCCACCGAAGGCCCCACTGGCGGTGTCCGCATGCGTTTCCCCCAACCCAGTGCAACGTTTCGTGGCCCCACGGGGAGCTCCACCGAAGGCCTCAGTGGCGGTGTCCTCATGCGTTCACCCCACCCAGTGCAGTGCCTCGTGGCCCCATAGGGGGCTCCACCGAAGGCCACAGTGGCAGTGTTTGCATGTGTTTCCTCCACCCCGTACAGCGCTTCTTGTCCCAATAGGGAGCCCCACCGAAGGCCCCACTGGCGGTGTCCGCATGCGTTACCCCCCCCAAGCAAGCTCCACCAAAGACCCCAGTGGCGGTGTCCGCCTGCGTTTCCCCCACACCCAGTACAGCGTTTCGTGGCTCCATAGGGAGCTCCACCGAAGGCCCCAGTGGCGGTGTCCGCATGCGTTTCCCCCACCCAGTGCAGCGTTTCGTGTCCTCATAGGGAGCTCCACCGAAGGCCCAAGTGGCGGTGTTTGCATGCTGTTCCCCCTCACATGGCAGCGTTTCGCCACAATAGCAAGCCCTACCGAAAGCCCCAGTGGCATGGTTCGCATGCCGCCCCCCCCACTTTTTTGCACACCCCTCACACGTTTCGTGGCCCCATAGGGAGCTTCACGGAAGGCTACAGTGGCATGGTTCGCATGCCAGCCCCGTCAATTTGGCACACCCCTCACAGATTTCGCGGCCCCATAGGGAGCCCCACAGAAGGCACCAGTGGCATGGTTCGCATGCCGCCCCCCTCCACTTTGGCACACCCCTCACACGTTTCGTGGTCCCCCAGGGAGCTCTACCGAAGACCCTGGCGGCATGGGTCGCATGCCGCCTCCCTCCACTTTGACACACCGCTCACACGTTTCGTGGCCCCATAGGTAGCTCCACCGAAGGCCCCAGCGGCAGCGCCCGCATGGTGGCCCCGCCCTATTGCAGCGCACCCTTCGCGCGCTTCTTGCCCGTAGGGAGCTCCACCGAAGGCAGTTCTCACAACGGCGGTTTTCACAACTGCATATGGTTGGGTCCTTCGCCAGGATCATTTAATTTCTTTGCGCTCATGCCTCTGTAGTTGCCGTGAGGCGCGCGGCGCTAGGGATAAGTGGGCGTCGTGTTTCGAGAAGCGAAAATCCCCTCCCCTACCCCGAATTTCCCTCCCCTTACGCCCAGTGCCTCTTCTCTCCCGCTGCCTGTTTCCTTCCCCCAACCCCCTACGTCTCTGGCCGCGCGCTCGTAGCTCATGTCGATCGGGCCCTTCGGAGCTGTCGGGATCGGGTCGGCCTTTCGTTTTGCGGGGTGCTCCGGAGTTCGGGATGGGTCGGACTGGCTGGACCAATATCGGCGCCAGGAAGGCTCGACCGAATGTCGTGATTCTTGACGCTTCGCGTGCCCTCACCAGTCCGTAGTCATTTTGGCTCAAGCCGATTCGGGCTCCATGGTGTTTTCGGGCACCAGGTGCCGTCAGGTGACCGCAGGCGCACCTTTCACTTACAAGGCGCTGCCGGCGCACTGCGCTCAGGAGGACCCCAGCCAGGATTCGGAGGAGGATGTGCTCCGGGAGGCCGACGAGCTGCTGGCCGTGACCCGCCGCCCGAGGCTGCTCTGGTGTGGTGCCTCTGCCGCGGGGGCCTGTGCGCTCCTCGCCGCGGCCGCCGCCTTTCGCTGGCGCGCGGCGGACCCCGCCCAGCTGCGCAGGGTGCCCGGCGCCGTGCTGGCCGCGCCGGGGGAGCTGGTGCTGGAGCTGCAGGCGAACGCGTCGCCGGCGGAGGCGGGCTCTGCGGTGCGCCCTCGCGCGCTCGACGAGGGGAGCTGCAGGGCGCGGCTGCGGCGGCTGCAGGAGGTGGCCGCGCAGAGGCTGGAGTCGCCGCCAGATCCCCTGTTCCCGGCCGAGGCCTCCTCGGTCTCTGGCAGCGGGGGTAGCTGCGGCGACTCGGCCTCTAAGGCCTCCACGCACTGCAGCCACTTCAACCACTGGGGCACCCTGCGCTCCATCGCAGATCAGCAGGGGCTCCCAGATGTGGTCGTCTTCGGCTCCTCTGTGCGCCCAGACGACGTTGACCAGGGCCGGCTGGGCGACTGCTACTTCCTGTCCGCGCTGGCGTCTGTTGCGCACGCATGTCCGACGTGCATCATGGGCATGTTCGTCCAGAGGCACAATGAGAAGAATGGAGTCTACACCACCAGGTGGCTCCTGGACGGAGTGGAGATGGAGGTCTCGGTTGACCACCTGGTCCCCGCGAAGTACGCCACCCCCTACTTCGCCCAGGTATCGAACGGCGTCTTCTGGCCAGTCATCCTGGAGAAGGCATGGGCGAAGATCCTGGGGTCTTATCATGCTGCCGAAGCGGGAAACTGGCTGAGCGCTGTAGGTGCCATCACTCGCTCTCCCGTGAAGTCCGTGTGGCACCCGGATTTAACGCAGGACGACCTGTGGAACGAGCTGGAACGTGCCTCGAGCATGCATTTCCCAGTCGGAGCCAGCACTGGAGACGGCGCGAGCAGCTATAACCTCCCTGTGTCCCATGCCTACGCGGTCATCCTGGCACACGTGGATCCCAAGTATGGGCGCGTTGTTCGTTGCTTCAACCCTTGGAATTCGGATAGGTACCGCGGCGCTGTTCCAAACGAGAACAAGGGAGACGGCATTTTCGACATGAAGCTGGATGAGTACTACCACGCGTTCAGGACAACGCAAATAGGACTGGTTACCCCTAATTACATTTCCTCCTTTCATGCGCTCCAGGTGTCGAAGCAAATGAGCGCCCTGACTTTTTCAATAGCTTCCGAAGATACGTTTCATGTGTCTCTTGTATGGCCCATGCGGAAGTTAGTCGAGCCTTGCCAGTTGAGACCTTCTGTAACTTTGGCGATCGCCAGGCAGGCTAAAAGTGGCACATTTGGTGAGATATTCCATGGCGAAGAGAGCAACGACGCTGCGGTGAACATGGTTACCGCCAAGGCCGCCGGAGGGATTGGCACCTATGATGTGTTCGTGAGTGCGGATTTCCCCAGCGAAGTCGCGGATCGGGTTGTCGTGGTCGTGTACGCAAGCGAGGAAGTGAGCATAACAAGTTCTCCGAAGTCCGCTTCCGAGGTGGCCCTGGCAATGTTTGGCCCCGAGTGCAACGAGAGCCACGTCAGCTTCGTGGAGCACGGCGT